GTCTTAACGACTACAAGACCCAATGCCGTGTCATGTGTCAGAAGTCTTAACTTTAACAGAGCAGTTGAAATTCTGGGGTTTACAACTGAGCAAGTGAATGACTATGTAGGGAAGTTTACAAAGCTGGAAGACAAAGCAGAAACCATAAGGCAACACATCACCAGTAACTTAAACCTTCTAGCCTTCTGCTACATTCCTGTAAATTGTTTCATCATTTGTTCATGCTTGTTAGAGTTGCTTGTCAACACTAGCTTAACCAGCCTCCACTACCTCCCAACAAGACTGACAGAAATATACTCCATTGCAATAAAGATGTTTTACTTTAGTTACGATGATGGTCAGTATCGCCACAATAAAACTGAAGGACAACAGTTCTTTCTAAAACCATTTAAGGAACTGCCCTCCTCTGTGCAAAAGGTGTTCACAAGTCTGGGAAAAATTGCTTTTGATGGAATTCAAGAGGGAAGATTAATTTTTGAATCGCATGAGGTTAACAGCCTAGAGAGTAATGGCCTGTTTCACCGTTTACCTGATACTAAAGACCATCCTTTAGCAGAGGGAAGAGAACAATATTGCTTTTTACACCTGACGATACAGGAGTTCTTGGCGGCGAAGTATTTGGTAGACACGTTGAGTTCCGAAGACCTGCAGAAGTTTGTTTCTGATCACATCGAGGATGGCGCGTGGAAGGTTGTGATGCAGTTTGTGGCTGGACTGCTGGCTGAAAAAGAAGGACAATCAACAGATATTTTCAGCGACCTTCTTCCCTCAGAAACTTCTACTGAAGAAGTTGAAATCGAGATGAATGAAGATTCAGAGGAACGAACTGTAACACTGACCCGTTGGCCAGCTGAAGAAGACAGGTTATTAGTGGTGACGCTATTCAATTGCATGTATGAGAACAAAGCCTCTGATCGAGAAGTTCAAAAGAAACTGGCGAAAATTGGTTGTAATGCGCTTTATTTTTATGATTGTAACCTGTCACCTCTCGACTGTTTAGCATTAGTGCATGCACTTAAATCTGTTGAAGGAATTTTGGATTTTGATTTAAGCGCCAACAAGCTTCAGTCGCTAGGATGTATTGAGATTGCGAAGTTGTTACCTGGCAACCAACACAATCAGGGTTTGCGCGAACTAAAAAGATTAGACCTCCAGGGTAACAACATAATTGATGAAGGAGCAAAACATTTAGCTACAGCACTCACACACACTAACTGCAAATTAAACAGCTTAGACCTCAGTCATAACAACATAACTGATGAAGGAGTTAAACATTTAGCTACAGCACTCACACACACTAACTGCAAACTAAACAGCTTAAACCTCTATAATAACAACATAACTGATGAAGCAGTTAAACATTTAGCTACAGCACTCACACACACTAACTGCAAACTAAACAGCTTAGACCTCAGGGGTAACAACATAACTGATGAAGCAGTTAAACATTTAGCTACAGCACTCACACACACTGACTGCACACTAAACAGCTTAAACCTCGGGTATAACAACATAACTGATAAAGGTAAAAATCTCCTAAACTCAATGAACATAAACTGTAAAGTATTTTTCTAAGCCATGTCTGCAATGTAAATGTTTCTCTGGTGAAGGAATTTTGGATTTTGATTTAAGCTTCAACAAACTTCAGTCGCTAGGATGTATTGAGATTGCGAAGTTGTTACCTGGCAACGAACACAGTCAGGGTTTTTGCGAACTAAAAACATTTTAATGTTTGGGTAGTTTAGCGGGATACAGTTCTTTAATGTATAACTCCTTCATTAGTGTCTTCATTAGTACTATTAAGGTTTCAGCTTAGTGTATGTGAGGGCTGCAGTGAAGTGTTTAACTCCTCCATCAGTCATCTGGCATCTCTCGAGGATTTTGCATCCCGCTATACTACCCAAACCTCTTTAGTAATAAAATAACCCAGGAAGCTAAAAGTATCTTAAAACTAATGACAACATTCTGTTAAGTACGCTTATCTAATCCATTTAAACATGTGTTGGTTTTTCCCTGAATAGCGCTGATTTTAGTCTGGATTCAGTGGCCTTTTTGGAGCCTTAAAAAGAAGTTGTCTTTTTTCTTTTTCTGCAAAGCTTCTCAGTGATCAGGTAACTTCAAAGCAATCTCGCAGCCCTTCGATTTTCTGTTGTATTACTTTCATAATACTTTCAGTTTTAGGTGAGGCGAAATTGTTTTTGGACACTACTATGTCTTTATAGTGTACTTGAACAGGTGGTGGTTTCAAAAGTTAAAAGGTTCATATGGAAAACGCGTAACTAAAAATCTCCATCAATGCGATTGTGGAGACTGGGTTAAATTGATAGACACTGTATTTATTCATTTGAGGTAGTTGTACATACAGTATAGCTACATGTGATATATTATAGCTTTACCGCATAGTACAATTTGGGATTGACTAACATTCTGCGAAATATAACTAACACTACGCGAAAATTGTTTTTTAGGACACGGTGGCTTTATATAGTATTGCGTAAACATAGCAACGTCCTATTAACAATGTGTATTTAAACAAACTAAAACGGTTCGTATGTAAGGTGACGCTTTACTATTTACTCTGAAAAGTATTCCATAATGGCGACACTGTCACAAATTGATTATTATAGACATATGTGATCAATTTAGATAGCCATGCAT